CACAATTGACAATACTCATGATTTACACACTTACTAATAAGGGTGTTCTGGCCACCCACTCAATAATACATTGAAGGTAGATTTCCCAAAGTTGGCTCCAGTCAATGCTAGTTAGTTTTTGAAAATGTCCATATATGTGTGTATATATGGTATATATAGTATATGAAGTACATACATTATATAAATATTTTGCACATAGCTTGGAAAACATTGTATACCATATTCTACAGATCCAAGAACTGTGACTCATGAAAAGCTCTGACCACAAAGAGTAAACCAGCTTTCCTAGATCTGATTAGGTTTCTTTTTCTGGTAACATTAATTCTAAACATTTAGAAACATGACAGCTCAGAGAATTACAAAACACACACACACACACACACACACACACACACACACACATCACTACAGACACATATCCAAGTAAATGTGCATGCTTTAAATGACTATTTTCACATACACGAGATCTAGCTATAAAAAAATTAATCTGAAACAAAAGCAGTCTATATCAGAGATTAAATGCAGTATCTATTTATTTATTTAAATTTAGACAGGGTCTCAACCCTGTAGTCTTTACTAGTCTAGAACTCACAGTGTGAACGAGGCTATCCTAGAACTGGTTCTTGTAGACCAGACTTACTGACCTAAAATTCACTGAGATCCATCTGCCTCTGCCACTGAGTGCTGGGATTAAAGGCGTGCGCTAGCCTGGAACTTCTGATGAGTGTCCTATTTCTGCCTCCTTAGTGCTAGGACTAGGAGCATGAGCCATCATACCTGGTGGTTTAAGAGTTGATTCTGAAGTTGGTTGGTGGTGACACATGCCCTTAATCCCAGCACTTGGGAGGCAGAGGCAGGTGAATCTCTGTGAGGTTGAGGCCAGCCTGGTCTACAAAAGCTAGTTCCAGAACAGGCACCAAAGCTACACAGAGAAACCCTGTCTCAAAAAACAAAAACAAAAAGAGAGTTGATTCTGTGTTATGTAGTCTGTAGTAGGACGTCTTCTGCACATGCGTTCTCTGACCCAGGTATAGCCTATAAATCCATAGAGCCTTTAACACAAGGTTTCATGTAATTGACACACAAAGGGACGAAGGGGGGAATTCCATTATTTATGTTCTGTCAGAAGCTACATCAGTTACTTCCTCAGCATTTTCTCAACCCAAAGCAGAAAGACCCATCATTCGATACTGCTGTGTTCTCAAACTTCCTGACACACTGTCACAAACTTCAGACGCGGAAGGGAAAATGAACTACCATTCAATCCTAGCCAGAATCTTCTTTCTCAAATTGCCTTACATACTGTCACGGATCTCCGATGTGGAGAGGAAAAAGACAGCTGACCTTGGTAGAGTGTGCCAGTCACCCAGCTACTCAGGAAGCTGAGGCAGAAGGAGCGTGAGTTAAAGGCTGAGTTAAAGAAAAAAAAAGCATGAGGTAAGGAAGAGTGAGGCTGGGTGTGGTGGCGCACGCCTTTAATCCCAGCACTGGGAGGCAGAAGCAGGCGGATCTCTGAGTTTGAGGCCAGCCTGGTCTACAGAGTGAGTTCCAGGTCAGCCAGGGCTACACAGACAAACCCCGTCTCAAACAAACAAAAAACATCACCACCACCACAAATGGAAAACAAACACAAACAAGGCTCAGTGGTAGAGTGCTTGCCTAGCATGTGGGCCGCATCTTTAATCCCCAATATGGCCAGGGTGGAGAGGTCCTTCATGGTAGTTCCTAGTTAGGGTAAGAATTTACTGAGGGTTGGATATTATTAGCACAGTTGGCCCCACTAATAACGGTGAGTTCCACATCTGCTACTTTAATCAATTGCATGTCAAATTATCTAAAAAAAATATTGGGGTTGAATATAGGGGCCAGTGGTAGACTGCTTTCTGAGGAAGACTCTGAGCTTATGACTAAAGCATAGAGTATGACTGTGTATACCTTCTTCTGGTCATGCCATAAAAACAGCAGGGAAAGATATACAGTTACACTGTGTTAGGTATACGCAATTTAAAGAGGCTTTAAATACCTGGGGAACATACATTTGGTTGCATGAGGATGCTATGATATTTTATAAAAAGGACTTCAAATCTTCTGATGGGGGGGGGGATGGTTTTCAATGACAAATTTCCCGTGGGTACCAAGGATATGATGGCACTTTATGTTACAGCGAGGGAATTCTTCTCTTAAACATAAGTGGTCAATAGTAGTTAAGAAGATCCAAAAGAAGTGACTCTTCCCTGACTCCATCAGCATCTCTGGGAAGATCTGTGTCTTGGTCGGGAATGTGAAGTTAAGAGCTTTCTCTCCGACTCACCACAGCGGCCAACAACCATGCGGTCCTCTGCAGCCCTTTCTGTGTGTCTGCTTATGTTTTTAAATTCCCCTCCAATTTCTTATTTAAAAAGTTCAATCCTACTAAAGAATGAAGCAAAATCCAGCTGTACCCCACTCTTCTTGCCTCCCTAGCTCTCACCACTGTCTTGTGGCGAGGCTCCTGAATGTGCTCTACCGCCATAAAAGGCTCTTCTCTCATCCTGCCGTGTGTGCTGCAGATAGATGTAACAGTGCTCCACCTCCAAACTCCCAAACTTTCATAGCATTCATCAGAAGGTGCTTTCGATGCTGCTAGGGGAGAAGAGTCATCAATGGATACCCAAACAGTGAACCCTGAATACCGACCAGCCAGGCAAGATGTGCTTACTGGCCCAACGGTGACAGGAAGGTGATGGGGACAACCAACAGTTTCTGACTGAATTGGAGGCCTGCTCCACAGGAGAGGGAATGCACGCCTGGTCAAAAGACCATGGCTTGGGAGGCTAGAGGCCCTATGTGGGGGGAACCCACTATTGATGCTTTGCTAAATGGACACGCCGTCACGCTGTCTTCTAAAATATGTCTATGCCCATATATTAGTGCTGCTCTCAACTCTGGCCAGAGAAGATTCTGCAGCAGTGGGCAGCAGTTGATGCAGAGACTCTTTTTTTTTTTAATATTTATTTATTTATTTATTTATTTATTTATTTATTTATTATGTATACAATATTCTGTTTGCGTGTATGTCTCCAGGCCAGAAGAGGGCACCAGACCTCATTACAGATGGTTGTGAGCCACCATGTCGTTGCTGGGAATTGAACTCAGGACCTTTGGAAGAGCAGACGATGCTTTTAACCACTGAGCCATCTCTCCAGCCCCCGATGCAGAGACTCTTAAACGACCAAAGTATTGAGAAGAAGTGACTATCGAGTGCTCATCCATAAATGGGACATCTTTATCAACCACCTCAAAGCGCAGAGAGCATCATTCAGGAGGGAGTGGAAAGAATGTGAGAGCCAGCGGATGGGGAGGAGGACAGGGAAATACTATCTTCTAGACACGACATAGATGTTGTGCTCATGAGCTCACAGCAGCTGTAATCACCAATGCAGGACCTTCAGAATGAGCCAACAAGACCATTCAACTTTAGATTTAGTAAGCGACCACCATAATTGCCATTACCACAACCACTGACAAAGGCATGAGGGTGGGAAGGGGATGTATTGGGGGTTAAGGACGGATGGGTAGGATCAAGTATATTGTGCCAAATAATAAGTAAAGGTATTTTTAAAAAGATTTAAATAAAAAAATACCAGAACAATCTCCTATATACTACAAAACTATTACTGCACTTAAGAACAGTAATTCCACGGCGTCTAATATACAGTCCGTATTCAGGTATCTTGAACATCTACAAAATATCTGTACTTATTTCTTTATTTTGGATGCAACATTGAGACATGGTCTCACTATATGTTGCCCAAGCTGGCCTGAAACTCACTATGTAGGTCAAGCTGGTCTCAAAGTCACAGACATCTGCCTGCTGGCATTAAGGAAGGCACCACCATGTCCTGACCCCCAAATGACCTTTGACAGCGACCGTTTCCTCATCTAGGAGTCAAAGTCCACACACACCAATCCACAGTGACTGGTATTGCCATCTGTGATAGCTGTACCCTTGCATCATTCACCCATGAATGCTCCATGGGTGAAACTGTGCAGGAGACTCACCGGGGTACCGCCTGGACCTTTGCGGGGATGATGGAAACTTTCTAATTCCAGCATTGTAAAGACACCATTCTCCCTGAGTAAGACACTCTGAAAGAATATGAAACCCCTGCTCTGACCCTTCTTTTCCGCAAAGGTTTTGTACCAGTTGATAGTTGGGGGTCAGTGTTTGCACAGTGCCTCTCTCAGCCTTCCTATTGTGCATTCATTTTTCACACAATAACCCATCAGTACCACTCTCTCTTTCCTCACCCTATATTCTTTCTGGAGTCTCCACCCCCACCTTCTTGCAGAGCACATTTGACGTCTCAGGCCCAGCCCTAGGGAGCCACCGACCTCTATCAGCTGATCCCACTGCCTTCAGCAAACAAAACCAACACACTGTGGCTTCCCAATTTATCTTAACATAAACCCCGAAACCTTTGCGATATTTATTGAGCTAGACTGACAAGAATAGAGTAAATCGGGTAACAACAAACAAAAACCAAAACCACCTGGATTAACTAAAGTCCTGAAAACCTTCTGGCTTCCTTGATGAAAACTGTTTGTTCTGTCTCCATCACGCTTTCTGTAAATACTCTTGTCATTTCAGTCCCTTGATACAAATGCCTAAGAAGAAAAGCGGTGCAGAAACCATTTCACCAAATACTCCATTTTACACGGAGAACGCAGCGCAGAGGCGAAGATCCTGGCTCAGGATCCCTCAGTTCCTCAGTGGTGGAGCTGCTACAGAAACCATGCTTTTATAATACCTCCCCTGATGTTCTTTTTTTTCTCTCCTTTCCCAAGCGCATGATGAATCAGATATTTAAAAGGAGCCGAAGGAGCGGTGGCGTTCTCGGCTTCTTCACTGTAATTTGCATTTTAGCCGCATCACTCCTCCCTCCCACCTTCTGACATTTTAAAGTAAAAATTCCCAAAACCTATTATTATTATCATTATCATTATTATTTGAAACCGACCTTCATTTTTTGCAGGTCAACAGGTTAAGGCAAGGAAGTCCCGGGAAGGCACGAACCAGCATGATTTTGACCAGAAAGAATAAGAAAAAGATTCTCTGGGACCTGTAAAGGGCGGCTTTTTGATGGCTGAAGAGTCCTGTGACAGCTCCGGGAACCTCAAGAAAGAAGCTAACCCGAGTCCTCCCTTCCCAGGCTCCTGTGCAAATGAGGCCGCGAGATGCTCCAGACTCCAGGAGCTTATCACACGTTCACCGGAGAGGAGAAAATGGGAAACAAAGCCCAACGTGGAAAACCCCAGCTCCGCAGCCCCGGGCGACCAGAGACCGCGCCCTCTCTGCATCTGCGTGTGGAGTGCGGTGTTGAGGGGGCTGCGGGGCATGGTGCAGCCGGTACCCAGACGCGTCCCGGGCCACCCCGCGCCATCCCCGCCTCCCCACGCACCCGCCACCCGGGTGCAAGCTGCTGCGGGCTGCGCTTGGCTGCGTGCCACGCCATGGAGCATCCTCCTGCGGACAGGCAGGGTGCGGCGGCCCCTGAGCTCCATTCGGGCGCTGCAGACAGGCTGCCCCTCTCGCCCCAGTTTCTCACCCTTTCTTGCGCCCATCCCGAAGCGGAAGGTGCTGACCAGCAGCCTTAGAGCCCCAGCTCGAGGGTCGGATCTGCAGGGGCGGCGCCGTGGCCCCGGGCTAGAACTGCGATCAACAGGCGGCTCGGGGGCCGGGCGCGGCGCGGGGTGCGCGGCTGCACCGGGGCAGCCTGGGAAGCGTAGTTTCTGCGGTGCGCGGTGGCCACGCGGAGGCAGGACCCCTGCCCGGGCCGCAACTGGGTCTCTCGACAACGCACTGGCCTCGCAGGGTCCTGCCCTAGAGTCTGGAGCAATATGTGCTAGCGCTCAACGGAGCAGGTGGAACCTGGGCTTGGGGAAGCTGGGTAGACTCTGTGGAGATGCTCAGGATCACTGACGCGGTGGGTGGCAGAGGCTTGGCAAGACTGTGGACAAGTGAGCATCTTTCTGTGCAGCCTTCGGGCCAGACTCAGGAACAGAGCAGGCCTGACCTAGGATTTACTGGCTGGGCGTGGGTGTGGAAAGGACTAAATGGGTTAATTGCTTAGGGAAGAGGAGGGGAAAGCTAGCTGAGGTTTAGGGAGCTTGATAAAAGTTTCGGTTTGAGAGTGTTGGAGATGCTCACATGCTGGCTTCACAAGATACGACCCTGGGCACAGGACTCGATACTCAAGGTCCTCATCTGTAAAATGTTTACAGCTTAAAGATACGATGTTGGAGTCAATGACTACATACGTGTCTGTCTGTGCTAAGAGCATACACAATGAGGATTCTTTTATCGTGGTTGCAAGAGAGGGTTTTTGGACGGAAAGCCCTACAAAAAGTGCAATGCAAGAGATAGCTGCGTCTCATTGGCCCGTGGCTCACTGGGTAGACGTTAAAAACTCCCCGAGTTTATTACTGTGCATCTCACAGTCTTCTCACCTTTCCCCCTGAAGATGTGTTGGAAAGTCCTTTTCTCTTTGACTGGTTCTTAGCAACCATAGACTGTTTTCTTGTTTCCGAAGCATGAAAGGGGTGAGATGAATCCCTGATTATGAAGTACATACTATATGAGTTACTTCCAAAGATTTATTTTTCAGGGCAGACAGGGTCTTATTATGTAGCCTAAGCTGGTCTTGAACTCATAATCCTCCTGATTTTGTTTCCTGAGGCTCGGGATGTACCACTACACACACACAATAGAGGCATTTTTCTAATTAGATTTTGTTTCTCTCTTTTTGACTTCTTGTTGGGTACTTTGAGCATGACCTTTGACAGAGTACTTGACCTTTACAGCCGTGTTGAGTTTTTTGCTTTTTTTTTTTATTCAAGTTGCTCCATGCAGTATTTCACTGTATGGTGGAATTTGTGTTTAGAAACGTAGTGTAGGAACATGAACTAAAGAGATGAATGCAGCAGGGCTGATGGAATCCACAGCAGACAAAGGATGGATGAGAGTGAGCGCCAATGAATGCTGTCTGGAGTGAGGTATGCAATAGCCATGTGGTTAAAAAAAAACCCATGCTGCAGAGGAAAGTCTACAGCTGAAAATAATAACAGCAACCTCACGTTTGTGTGGAAACACACTTCCTGATTCCCGTGTGGGCTTTAGCTTTGTAACAGCCCTGTGAAATGGCCAGAGGAGTCATTCACGGCCGAGAGAGTGGAGAATTGACTCAGGCTTGTCCAGCTTAGCCGGTCGTTAAGGACGTCTTTTCCCCACCTCCCCTGGCCACAGCAGCATTTCCGTTTGTACATTTCAAAACAGGGGTGACTGGAGATATGGCTCAGTCCCTAACAGAATTGCTACTCTTCCAAAGGACACAAGTTCAGCTCCCAGCTGAACCTACAAGAGACAGACCACCACAGCGTGTGACTCTAATTTTAGGATATCCCAAAATCCTAAAGCCCAAGCCGAGATAGAGAGCCATGTGTGAGCTCTGGGAAGATGTTGCAATCACACTAGAGATGTCTGAGGGAAAAAAGAACATCTAGTCAACCTCTGTCTGTCCCAGGGGGGTTAGAAGCAAATAGATGTCGGTGGATATACACATGAAAAAGGCAGGGTGCTTCCTGAACTTTCCTATTTTTAAAATTAGCAGTCAATAAACTAGGCATGGTGATGCACACCTAGCACTTATAATCCCAACGTTTGGGAGATAGAAGCAGGAGGATCACAAGTTCAAGGTCATCCTCAGCTACATAGTAAGTTTAGGGTCATCTGGGCTGCAGAGACCCTGTCTCAGAATAAACAAGCAAACAATAAGAAGCTGGGCTGAGTAGTGCACTTCTATAATTCTAGCACTTGGTAGCTGATATAGGAGGATTGCTGAGAAATTAAGCTGGCTTGGGCTACACAGTAAACTACAAGACAGCCTGGGTGAGATGCTATTTCAAAAAGCAAAATACCAGCCTGGTGTGATGGTACACAACTTCAATCCCAGTTCTTGGGAGGCAGAGGCAGGAGGATATCTATGAGTTCAAGGTCAGCCTAGTCTACTTAGTGAGTTCCCAGAAATCCAGGGCTACATAGTGATACCCTGTCTCAAAAAACAAACAACAAAAAACAAATAAAATCAACCACAAAACAAACACACAAAAACAAAACAAACAGCGGGTATGATGGTGCATGCCTTTAGTTTGAGTATTTGGGAGGTGGAGGAGGAGAGTCAGGTATTCAGGGCCAGTCTTAAATATGGGAGAGGCAACAACAAAAAACCAAACAAGCAAACAAACAAAATAAATTAATGGCAGGATAGTACCAGTTCCAGTCTGTGTAGTTCTTCAAAGGTAATGTCCTTGTTCTATTTATTTTTAAGAAGGACAACAGCCATACCTATGACTTAATTTGAGCCTGCCAGCATTTCTAGACCACAGTTAAAAATTATTTCTTTTTGAGGTAAAGTTTTACATAGCTCAGGATGACCTCCAATTTGGCATCTAGCTGAAGGTGACCTTGAACTCCTGATCTTGCCTCTATCTTCCATGTTCTGGTATTACAGGCCTGCACCACCATGTTAGTTTTGTCTTTTAACTTTTACTTGGGCTGTGCGTGTGTGTGTGCTATGTGTGTGTGTGTGTGTGTTGTAATAGGAATGGCAGGGCTATGTTCCTGGCACCCAGCCGCCCGCACGGCTAGCTTTACCCGAAATAATTACACGGAAACTGTATTCTTTTAAACACTGCCTGGCCCATTAGTTCCAGCCTCTTATTGGCTAGCTCTTACATATTGATCTAACCCATTTCTAATAATCTGTGTAGCCCACGAGGTGGCTTACCAGGGAAGATCTTAACCTGCATCTGTCTGGAGTGGGAGAATCATGGCGACTCCTTGACTCAGCTTCTTTCTCCCAGCATTCTGTTCTGTTTACTCCACCCACCTAAGGGTTGGCCTATCAAATGGGCCTAGGCAGTTTGTTTATTAATTAACCAATGAAAGCAACAGATTAGAAAGAAATCACTCCCACATCATGTGTGTGTGCATGTGCAGGTACTCTTGCACATATCTGAATGTGTATGTGGAGGCCAGAGGTCCACTTTGGGCGTCATTCCTTAGGTGCCATTTATCTTATTTTTTGTTTTTGATTTTGAACCGGTTCTCTCTTTGGGGGCCGGGGCTGGCCAGTGAGCCCCTGTTTCTGCCATCACCCCTGGGCTTGCGGTTACTCACTGCCACAGCTGAGGGCATGGGCGCTGAGGGTCAAGCTCAGGTCACCATGCCCGTGCAGCAAGTGCTTTACCAATGGAGCCAGGTCTCCAGCACCTCAGTTGCTGTTTGGACTGTGAAGAGGGAGAATTAAAGCAGAAGTGCTAGATGGCGGCTCGCCTGGTGCAGCCTCTTCATGCAAACGGAGATGCTGACACACAGCGGAAAATGTCAGATAGCAGAAAATAAAAATGTGGTAGCTACAAGGAAGTCTTTTAATGATTTGCGGAGGAACATGCAGCACACCCCAGTGGGAGCAGGTGGCAGTATTGTTGGTTGCCTGGTCCACATCCATCACATCCATTCTATTTTCCTATTTTCTTCCTTTCCTTCTCATTCCTCCTCCTCCCTTTTTTTTTTCTTGACAGTATTTCTCTGTGAAGCCCCCTTTGTCCTGGAACTCGCTCTGTTGACCATGTTGGCCTTAAACTCAGAGATCCACCTGCCTCTGCCGGCCAAGTGCTGGGATTAAAGTTGTGCCTCCCCCATCTGGCTCTCTGCTGTTCTTTACAGTAGAATCCACCCATCAGGGAAGGGTGCCCTAATACCATCTCAGGAGGATGGGCCTAACCCTATTATGACTGGGGAAACAGGACCCTCTCCCAAGACTATATGACATTAGGAGTGGACACATGGCTTATTCTGGCCAGTAACACCTGAGACAAGGTGTTATGAAGAAACCTTTAATTTATTATTTGATAATTTCATACGAGTTTATCTATTTCTGGCTCCCTCCTTCTTCTCTTCCCAAGTATCCCCCCATTGAATCCAATTAGGACTGCGTGCTGAAATATCCACTGATTTTGTTGGCTTGACCTCGCAGGAGATAACAACTATAAAATGGGTTCATGAGAGCAACAGCCATGTCCAAAAGACAGCACTTCACAGCACTCCCCCCCCCCCACCCTGAATCTTAACACCGCTCCTGTCTCCTCTCCTGTGTCAAGGAACTTTGTGCCCTTAAACAGAGATGCACAGAGAAACATGACATCACTCATGATGGAAGTTGTTCCATGGGGCTGTGTG